AAGGAATGAAGTGGATGACGAATTTATTGCGTCAGACTCGAGTGCAGTCACGCCTCCGCCCTCGACCTTGAAAAGACCACCAGTGAAAGAGCCAGTAAATCGTCTAGAGGGTGGCTTGAAAATTCACAAAATGGTCCATGTTCCTCCCAGTAACAAGAAGAATGGTGCCCTGAGAAAGTGTCGCGTGAGTGCTAAGCACAAGATTAGAAAAGAAACAAGTATCATGTGTGCAGGCTGTGGTGTGGCTCTCTGCACACTTTCATGTTTCAATTTTTATCACACGAAGAAAAACTAATAAAGAGGTATGGAAAGGCATTTATTGCATAAAATATTGTATTTTAATTAGTTCCTGAAAATTTCGTTTTTAAAAACCAGTTTGTATTGAAGTTGTTTAGGAAAAAGTAACTACATGCATTTTAGCGACATAAGGTTTAAAGGGCCTGCCAGGACAGGGGTGGGATTTAAATACCCTTCACGCCAGTCAAAGAGTTAATTAAGCACCACATCAAAAAGGAGTGAAGGTATGTCTCCACCATTCTAAACTGCAGTACTAGATGGAGGTGAGTGGTCAGCTTCATGCCCCTGCTACTGCTCCTAGTGAAGGTCTAGCATACCCACTGGACAGAAGGCTCGGGAGGGCCCCACAGCCAGCCAGGGTGCTAGGAACCAAAATTCCATTTTTCTGTTGTATACAATGAGCTGAAATTAAACCTAAAGTCTAATTCAGTTTGTCTACAGTTCTCTAAAGTGTTTCATTACATAACAAATAAATATGTAATAAACATTTACTTTATTAGTGTGTTGGCATTGTATGACCACCAGCTGCTCTTGAAAGTTCTGTCTCCACAGACCAGAATAGGAAGTGGCAATATGTCTATAGTCTACTCAGGACAAGGAGCCTTACAGAGGGAGAAATGTGACATAACAGAATCATTTAACAAAAGTCGTCCATTACTAGGCAAAGGCTGGTAAACACACGCCTGCATCAACAAACATGAGGGCTGTCACTAAGCAACAGCCCCTCGTGACATGTCACACAACAATACAGGAGCTGCTGGAGGCTGTTTTTTCTATGTGGTCTGACCCAAGGCTAACAAGACACATTAATTAGTTGCTATTATGAGTGAGCCAGCCATCAGCTAGCAAGAATGTGAGCAGAGAAGTGGAGAATACCCATTATTTGGAGCTGTTACCTAGCAACCTGTAGTGAAGACAAAGAAGCTTTAATGTTTGGAGTAGTGATTTGTATAGTGTGTAGATCCATGCAACTGTTACAGTTACTTGTAGTTATGAGTTAAAAAGAGTTCAATAAATCCAATTACCAATCCAAACCCCATGTCTAGTCACAAACACATGAAAATACTATAAATGGAGCAATAATAATGAGATTTCAGTATATTCTTATTTTATGGTTTGATGGTTTTCTATATGTGACATGGAAAATATAAGTTTAGAGTACAAATGGTAATTCGTACAATTTTATTTTAAGTACAGAGCAAGTCTGTTATTAGTACAGAAAAAGTGCACTTTACAGCAAGTTTGCAATGAGAAGCTCAAAATGGAAGTATCACAAGGGGTTGAGAGAATGTCAGCAAATTGCTATTACACCAAGTGATTGATAATTGTTTATGTTATTGTTTACCATTATTCTCTCTTTTCATAACCCTTATTTGAAAATTTTAATGGTTATAAATATTGCACTAAAACAGTTCAAGCATTAACACATTTTCCACTGGTCCCCTGCATGACCAGGTTAGCCATTCCATTCTCCATAATGGAGATCTGGATTACTAATGCTCTCCTTACCTTCAACATTTCTTATGTGCATTTTTGAATGGCCACTTTAGTGAAGGCTACATATGCTTGGCTTGCATGCTCTGTGGGGTTCTAACACCATACTGGTTGATAGCATATAAGGTATAAAAATCTCTTGCAAATTTATTTTAAAAATTCGAAAGACTTGGTAAAATTGCTGGCTGATGGGGACTGAACTACTCCTAATGCCATGGCAAGGAATGTTTTAATAATGTACAAAATTAATATTTTATAATTATTTCACCCTTTGCATGTCCTAGTAGAATGCAGTAAAATTAAAATGGCCCTGCATCTTATAACATAGCAAAACATGGTAAGATATCATTTAAAAATGGTATACTTGACAAAAAACCGGGCCAAAGTTGAATGGACAAGGGGTCAAAGGGAAAAAAAAAACTTATAAATCAAATTAAACTTAATAATTACTCAAGAGTACTGGGTTTTCATACTTTGCACATCATCTGGTATTCCAAAAACTAGATCTGCTTCCATCCTCAGGTCAGGGGAGAGAAACCTACTCTGTTGGTTCCATTATAAAGAGCTAATATCATTCACTGGTCCAGTTTCTGAAACATTGTGTTCTATAGTTGTTAGAATACCAGATGATGTACAAAGTCCAAAACCCCAGTAATTTTGAGTGTCATACACCATCATCAGAACCCTTTAGACTCTAAACTTAATAATTAGGTTATTATTACAAAGAAGTGATCTTTTGTTCCCTTATCATCATCGTGTGCTGCTGTGTAAAAACACACCACTAGTATCACAACAGATTTCTAATGATTCCACAATAATAATGAGAACAGAGAACAACTTACACAAGTTACCAACATAACATCAGTATATCTTGCAATAGAACAACAGGATATCAGGGCAAGAAGCTACCACACAAAGTGACCAGGGCCAGCACAAGCCTCAGTGCCACTCCAGGTAAAAAGAAATTCCATTGCACCCTGACCTTTCCCTAAACTTCATCGCAATGATTAGGAGTTTCAAAATGTGATAAGAATTGTCACTGGTGCTGGAATTCTTAGAACAGTTTTATTTACACTGCTGCATAACATGTTTAGTTTACTAACAATGCATGGTCACAATGTAAACAAATAATTGGGAAAAATTAACTCCCATTGAACACACACAAATTCTGTAGAATTTGCTGCCCCAGGCAGCTGATTGGTTGGCCCATGATGTAGCACTGGCCCTACAAATGACAACACAGAAAAGGGTGGGCAAAATCAGAATGCAAGTCAAAAAATTAATTTGAGGTATGAAACTTTTTTCCACAGATTCCATACATAGGAGTTAACACTTTTTTTTTGGGTGTGTATTGTTGTCCAGAACTGTACATAAACCATTCCACTTCCTTCCCTTTCCTTTAAGCATTGTGTAACATACACAAATTCCACATATGAATTAATGTGACATTTTACATATCTGCGATGATAATGTTACTTCATTACATTATGTCCACAACATGTGTGCAACACACACTGCACACTGTGACCCTGATAGTTGCTTGGTTTTCTGAGATGCTAGACTTGGACAACCAAGACATGTGTAAGACCCTTTCCACAACCTTTATGACAAACATTAAAACAGTGTCTGAAGACAGAACTGTGTCATGTGATGTTTCTCATATTCTCAAAGCATTTGTAAACACCTGTTACAGTGCTAGACTTCTAATTACAAGAGAATTTTCCCACATTTAATAGTTTATGTTCATAGTGTATTCCACATGACTTGTTACAGGATCATAATCGTAAGAGATACATGTAATGCTGAACTATTCTGTTATTAATTCATAATTCAATAAACGATGCATTAAAAAACTGTAATATTCTGTAAATTAGACACTGTCTAGCTGCCTCATTTCACAAGTAGAGAGTTTATATGTGTAATTAGATAGTTTTATGATTAGCTAAGCTGATAAAATAAATTATGGTCATGAAATGAGGTTAAAAAAACTGAAATCAAACTGAAATATACTTGCAAACAGCTGCATGGTTGCAGACACTCAATTGCTTATGATTACCAGTGCCTGCAGTGTTAATCATAGCCAAGTTGGTCAAAATACGTAATAAACAAGATTAAGTTGCTAGAGGTACCATTTTATTTGTACATTACCACAAGAAGATGGAACCCTATAGAATTATACTGGGTCTAGCTGGAACCAATGATTTTGTTACAGAGCGTCATGAGTAGCACTTCGATCGCAGTAAGGAAAACTGATTGTCTGAATGATACAGTTTCTCAATAAGAAGGCTGTAGTCCACAGAAAGAAATGAAACATCCAACAGTGCCTCCAAGCCCTTGTAAACAAGCAAATATTCCTTTCTTTCTAATCTTAAAAATATATGTTTATTACAATCATATTAACTTAGACTGCATTCATTCCCAACTAAACACCTGAAGTCATGGCTCAATTAAGCTCGATAAACGTAAAGATAATGATTACAGCCTAACAATCCGTAGCCCCCCCCCACACACACACACTACACACACACGCACACGCACATGCACACATTTGAATAGTCATGTTCTTTCCTCATGGTCAGTTTTACATATTTGGAAAGTATTTATTTTCCAATAACTATGTTTCAGTCTTAAGAATACAGTATTTAGTATGATACAAAGCAGAAGTGACATGAAGAAGATTTCCTTACTCTAAAATACATTACACACCTTACTAATAAAGCACATTTAGCTCTTCATCTGATTACATTGGTCTTGGATGTCAAGACTGGAGACTTGATCTTCCCGTCTGTTTTCATGAGATACCGCATTACTTTGGGGATCTGCATTAATTTCATTTTAAGATCATCTGGAAGCACATCCTTCTCACCATACTGCTTTATCTGTCCACCGGGCCTCTCAAGTTCAACTGCACTACTTGTGCAATTGATGGTGACAACGGAGCCATCGTTGTGATGAACCTGCACCTCTCCAGACGGAAGCTATGACAAAGTAATTAACATGATGTATACACTACGATATGGGTTCTCAAATTATGGGGGGGGGGTCACAGTTTGTAAAGCCATTTAGGTTCCTTCTGTCACTGTACAGCCTGACAGAGACCTTGTCCATAACAGTGAGCAGAACTGCACTTTCTGCAGACTGGCAGAGAGCGAAATATGGATAAATTTATGTATTACTTCATGGGGTCATGATCTCACAAAACTGCATTATGGTGATTAAAACTGATGTCACATAAATAATCATCTCACAATCCTTCTGAATCGGATTCATTTGTTTCAACATTGCTGCTGGCCTGCATAAAATATAATGTACACAGTTTGGAATGTCTTCTATTTTATGAAATCTAAACTGTGGTATCCAAGAAAATATATGGGATATGTGTGTGTACATGGGGACTGTTTACTTCTCAGTATTTCTTTAGTACCAGAAGACAAACATCACTGAAACCAGAGCTACGAATATACGGATACCAGTCTCTATGGATGAGGCAAAGTCAGTAAACAGGTCACAAATGGAAGTAAAACAGGTGTAGGTTTTCTATGTGTATCACGAGGTAGCAGCGCAATCCAGCTTCGTGACAGCCTAGGTAGCAGATGCACATGAACATATTCAGAGGATGGATTCAATTGTCAACATGGCGACTGTGCTTGAGGAGTGTGTTGCCGGAGAACAGCATTCTGTTGCACATTTCTTGCAGGCAAAAGGACTCACTGCAGAGGATATTCATAAAAAATGAACCCTGTTTATGGTGGACCCTAGTGACTTCCATCTGTTTGGTCTGCTAAAAAAAAACCATCTTGGTGGCAAATGTTTTGCTGATGACAAACAGGTTGAAATGGAGGTGTGGAAGTGGCTCAGACAACAGTCAAAAAACTTCTGTGCTGTGAGTTTTGACGCAATAGTAAAGTGTTGGAACAAGTGTATCAGTGTTGTTGGAGGATATGTTGGGAAATGAACGTTTTTCCCAGGTTCAAATATCACATGTTTCGCATTTTATATCCACATGACCTATTTACTGACTCTCCCTCATATTACTTGTTTGATACAGCTAGAACATTGCTGCTACCTGCATCAGAGGGGTGGAGAATGTGGTAGTGGGGATAAGGGAGAAGCAAGTTCATCACTACATTCCTGTACAAATCTGTTACAATTACACGGTTTTTAATGTAAACACAGACACTGCAGATGTCTTGTATTAAATAATGCTTTACTTTCTCTTCTTTCCTTACAGTCAGACTGCCCTTCATGGTAGCCATAATCAAAATTAATTATAAGTATAAATTAAGGTAACATATTTATCTGAAAAGCACAGAGGCACATCAGGCTTGTATCAATGAAGGAAGTCGACTGGGAGGATGTCATCCATCTCTATCTAAACTGTGTGAAGGCATACCACCAGAGTGGCCTAATGTAGTTCAAGCTATACCAGGTAACTTACAGTAACCAGAGCAGGTTTTTCATTACAGTACAAGCTTATTCCAACCAAGAAATGGATTTTTATAAGATTCAAGGTATTGAAAGCAGTGATTCAGATTCATATTGCACTGTACAGTCTTGCATTAGGCACAATTATTCTGGAGGAATAAACTCCCTTCATGTTTCCAATTTGCTGAAGATGGAGCATGTTTCTCTGAAATGTTGGTATCCATGTACCAAACTACAAAACAGTGTCATACACCAGGTCACAACATAAAGACATGGCGAAAAATTCCCTATGATAAAATTAATTATGTTAAACACTGTAAGCTACGAAAAACTTGCAAATTATATAGAAAGTTCAGGGAAGAATTAATGATGCTTCCAGCCATATACTCAAGCCAGCAGAATTTATAAACATGGTAGAAGGTTCATTTGGCTTATCACAGGGACCAGTGCCAGGCACTTGCAAATGTGGTAATGAACATTCAGATTTCACAAAAGGCTGGCAATTTTTTTGAGTATTGTTATATATTAGCGTCCTGTTACACTGATTCATGTCCATGGTTTATGCTAACCGTCTTACAGTGTATACACTTTTTCACCTTATTCTTCACTTCCACACTACATGTTTCAGCACTAATGTGCCATCCTCAGGTGTCTTTATGCACGTTAAACTATTGTACTGCATGCCATGATGTCTTCATTCTAAAATGACTAAAATCTGTATTCGTCATATATGTCGATGAATTCTAAATAATAAAACTTTTCAGAATTCATCCTATGTCGCACTCAAACACGCGAATTACGCCAATCCTCTTTTATGTGAGCATTCTTCCTACATACAAGTTTATATTTGATCTCCATACAAAGTTAACATGCCTAGCTGTAGTGCCTCATTACTTCACCCAAATACAAATCTAAATATGTGATGACAGGGAATTACTACTCATTTTGGCCCAATCGATAGAGCTAGTCTCTAACTCTGGAGACTAGAGACTAGCTCTATCGATTGGACCAAACTGAGTAGGTTTTACCTGAAGACGAAGACAGAATCCAGTCTTCAAAACGCTGTATTTTGGATAAAAACAAGGCGATGGACAATATTCAGAAATATAATATTTGTACTAATGTACCATCATCACAAACTTTTGAACTTAAGATAATGGAACACGGATATTTTGCATACTTACCTGCACAGCCATGCCTACTCCTGGCACAAAAGCTTTAATTGTTTTCAGCGACTGAAGGTGAGAAGATGACGGGGAAGCACCTCTACTGGAAGGAGTTATGTTCTGTCCATGCTGTACTGCACTTCCACAGTGCTTGGTGGGAATGGTGCTCACTACTGACACATCACATGAGGACATCTGAAATGAGAAATCACACAAGTATTATTCAGACAAATGTGAACTTATGAAATATAATCAATTTCATAAGTTCTGAGCTTTCCACAGAAGAGCCTGTTCATGCTGAGGTCTTCTGGGTTGTGGCAGTGTATAGTCTTGTGTGACATCATCACTGTAACTTATAATAACCTACATTTTGCTGAGCACCATAGATCAACATAGCGTTCTTGCTCTGCCTGTATTTTTATGGGTGCAAGTCTTATAAACAGATATCATCCAAACTAACTTTCTGAATGCATTCAAACTTGCCAGGCATATGCTTCCAACTACTGTGAACATCATGAACCACTAGATGGACCTCTTGCTGTGTTTGCCACCTGTAAGGGAATTTAGAAACTACTGTATCTAGCAGCAGGAATATCTTACACCACACGTCACCTGACCTTGGTCATCTGAGGGAGAGCAAAAATGCATCTCAAAACCATTATCACGTAAAGCAAGATTTAGTGTGCGTGTACTATACAAATTTCTAGTTGATTTCCATTTATTTTCACAAATGAGCATTAGAATATTAATTCAGCAGAGGGGTTTATGCCAGACTTTATTTACTCAGCAGTGAAAGGGTTAAACAGCTAAAATATATAAACAAAAGGAAACATGCTGTTTCCATCATCAGAGTAGGGTGAGGTTGTGGTTACGTTATACAGGTTAGTTACACAGAAGGGGTCACTCAGATCTGTGGGACACAGGAGAGGTAGACAGAACTCAGTACAGACCAATCAGACCTGTAAACAGGACATTCCAGAAAAAAGACCCCATTATTAATTGCCACAGGATAACATCAGAAGCTAGAGAGACTGACAGAGAGAGAGAAGGCACTTTTTGTATTTAGGGGTGCTGTAAATGAGTAAATGTGTCAAAAGTTTGAGACCAACACAATCCTTTCTCATGTTATGAATATGAGAAAATAAAAACAGCTTGTCAATCTAAACTCCATCTTTTCAGTTATCTGTAATTATTCTTGAGATGGTGGTGACATTCAATTTCTGGTTAACTCTCAGAGTGGCTCAGTAACACACTTCAGCAATATCAAAAGCAGAGGTACATCTCTGTGGCAGTGAAATATTATTTTTTTTATTTACATGTTGATTTTTCCTGAAATAATTCCAGCCTGAGAGGATTTTCAGTTTATTTAAAAATTGAGGTTCAATGGGCTACCTCTCGCCAGGGCATAAAATCAGTAACTACAGTATATAAGATTTGAGGCTTTCACGGCGGTGACTATGAAGAAAGCAGTCTTGTCTGCTTTACCGTTTCTCACGGTGTTGTCGCTTGCAGATTTCTTATACTTTTTCTTCTACCCTGAAGATGGGGGCGATACGTTCCTCCGAAGCGTCGGTTAACACCACATATACACGGTGCCAAATCCCAGAAGACTGCTTTCTTCAACTACAGTATACTTCCAATTATCCATGTGTGGGTTATCTGATATATCACTTACCCATGAGCCTTTTATGTGCACCTGCAACCCGCTGCAGAGCACATGTTAGGTTTACTCAACCTGTCTGTATGAAACAACTACAGAACCATCAAATGGATTTTCATGTTGGAGAATCTTATGAAGAGTTTGTTCTAAAGGGTTCTGACGATGGTGTACAACACACAGATATACTGGGTTATTGAACTTTGTCCATTGTCCGGTATTCTAGAAACCAAAACACGCAACGTTTCAGACACTGAAACTGAATCTGTTTCCATCCTCAGGTGAGGGTAGGGAAAAGAGCTAATCTCAGTCACTGGACCACTGGACACCTACTCAGTTGGACCCATCAGAAAGAACTAATCTCAATCATTGGTCCAGTTAATGGGGGCCAACAGAGTAGGTGTCTCCCCCTCTCACCTGAGGGCAGAAATAGATCCAGTTTCCAAAAATGTCGTGTTTTCTATTTTCTAGAATACTGGACGATGGAGAAAGTCCAAAAACCCAGTAATTCTGTGTCTTATGAAGAGATGTCATGCAATTTCAATTTTCATTTTGACCAGACAATTTTGTTTACTTTATATGAAGACCTATGCATGTTCCTGTACATATCTGCGTGTAATCTGTAAAAAACTTATCAGAGAGAAAAATGCTTCCAATGAACGATACAGAGAAAAATGAAACACATATTTCATGTTACACATACTATTCCTATAGATTTTGACAGTTTGAAAGATAACTGAACACAATGGATGATATGTGTATAGTTCCAAATTTCTACATCCAACAGTCACCATGGTCTCCTGACCACCCCTTAAACTTGTGTTATCTGATTTTTCAATTATTCATGAATCTTTTCCCCTTCACTGGCAGTATGCTGTACTACCAACATAATGTTTAATATCCCAGTAATATATTGTGAAATGATGCCTGAAAGCTGGAACAGTGCTTTGCTAGGCAATGGCTCAGCAAACACATTCCCGCGGAAGCGAATGCACAAAATAATAGAACAGCAGTATTTTCTGTGGGATCTGCCCTGAGGCTATATAAAGAAGATCTCAAGCAGCCAAGAGATAAAATTGAGTCTCCAGTGTTGGCAGTTGGCAGAATAATTAAGGAGAAATGGCAGGAAAGTAAGTAGGCTGTGCAAAGAAGACTTCATAGTGTGCTGCAGTGACAGTGAGACTGTGATAAATCCACTGCCAGGTTATGACTAGGAAGACTGAGAAGACTTAGCGTGTACTAACAATTTGTAAAGTGTGTTGATCAGCAACTGCGCTGTATTACTTGTAGTTATGAGTTGAGTGTACAAGGTGTCTATAAATCCAATTCATCCAATTAATAACCCATCAACAGTCATGTATCACCCCTCCCCCAAAATTCATGACAGTAATATGTTTACTACAATAAATTCACTCCCAGAATTTTATGTTCAGATCTCATAAGTAAGGAGCTCATGGATGAGATATTTCTTGAAAGAAAGCGTTTCTAAATCCATTACAATTGATAAAATTTCAAAGCAATCCTCCAAGAACAGAGTTCAGTCTACTGTGTCAAATATGAATAAAAAATAGTAAATAGCAAGAGTTAAATACAGATATAATTAAAAGACCAAACTGCAAAACATAATAAAAAGAAAGAAAAAAAGACATAATGTGATAATTATGAAGAAGCCTTACCACTGGAATATGTGACATTTGTTTTTCAGCTTTGATGCTGGCCACGTTCTCCTTTCCTCCAAATACAGAAGGTCGCTTTCCCACTATTATAGGAAAGTAGTTTGCTCCTTTGACTGCCACCTTGTTAGATATCTGTGTCAAATGACACTCCAGCAGCTTGCAATGGTGGTAGCACTGTAATTTACAATAAATAATTGTATGAAGCTATGTTACAGTTTCTAACTTAGAGGCCAAGTGGCATATAGGAACCAAATGGAACAAATGTCTGGTGAATGCCTTCAAGGTACAATATGGTGATCACTTGGCCAGCACAGAGGTTTGATTCCTCAAGCACACATCTGATTAATCTGTGTTCAATACATTTAATACCCATAAAAGTTAAATGTGAATAACCCCACTTTTGAAAGGTGGCAAAAAAAAACATGAAAAATGTCCTGTATGAATGTGAGGCTCTAGGTTAACTTCAGATCTCATCATTAAATGTTCCATAAAGTAAAGCAACACATTTCATATGAAGTGGGGGGTTGTTATGGGGCTATCTAAAAAGGGAGATACACAACAGACTGAAGATGGTTACAGTATAAGGGCCAGTATGGCCCACCCCTTAACAATCAATCATTCAATATGGATTAAATGGAATATGTGAACATTGCTGCATAATCTGCCATTAACAACTAAAGAGATGATGTGGAAGGTAGACTCATTCCCATGCAACTTATCCAGAAGCTCCGTTTTTCCTGCTAATGGCACAGTCTTCTAACTTATCTTCACTGTACTACCACTTTGCAATGTTTTAAGTTCTGGTGACATACTACAGCCTAAAGGTACAGTCATTGAAAAAAAGCAGCAAACCAATCAGCACACTTAATCAAAAACAACTGCACAAACTTAATGCAATGATGGCATAACTTAGAAGGATGATGTGGGAATGTGGGAAGCATTAGGTGACAATAAGGAAGTGAGTGTTGGCATGTACAGTACTACAGCACGTCTCAAAGACCATGTATATTCAGATCTTCTTCATCTGACAAATAATTACTTGTGGGCAAATATGTGTTCAGTAAACATGTGCTAAACAAGGGTTTGCTTTATTTGTTATGCAGGCTGAAGTAATGACTTGCTTTCATGATTACTGTGTGAAAACCATGCTGAATGCTGATCACAGCAGTTAACTTCTAGTTCTCATGATTAAACATGTAAAATAACTAAGGCAGACCCTAGAGGGGCAAAAAGTAAACATAAAATATTCAGATATTCATATAAGCTTGTATCCTTTTCATTTAAGTACATTATGTGAGAGAAATTTCCAGAGTTTCCAGTATAGCCATATCATATCAGTCTGTATGGTGACTGGCTAAGGGCTGGACAGCCAAGGGGTTGAAGCACCAGTAAGGGCAAGATTTTCTTCATCTCCACATCATCCAGACAGGTTCTGGGGCCCAACCAGCCTCCTGTCCAATGGGTATTGGGGGATATTTTGCTGGGGGGTAAAGCTGACCATTCACCTCCAACTAGTGCTGAGGTAAAAAATAAGTGGATCTATACAGCTACTCTCCAATATGTCTTCATAACATGGTGGTTAATTAGTTAAGCACAAGGACAACTTCACCTTTACCTCTACCTTCTAACCACAGAAGTGCAGGTTCAATCCCAGCATAGCCAATGCAGGATTTGTGCTAGACAAAGTGGCACTGGTTCAGGCTTTCTCCTTGCCAATTACTATTCTACCAGTGCTCAATACTGATTTGTCTTATGGGAAGGTACAATAGGCCCATCTGAAACTGCAATACTGAGGGAATTAGTGTCACCCCACTCCAACTAAATGTGTATGCAAGTGAACTCCACTTACATGTGGCATTAGAATCAGCTATAAAAAAATGTAAAGTTATCCTTGTAACCAGCCGTGAAGGCCCACAGGGTTGTGAGAAGTTGACGCTCCCACATATTCTAGATAATCAGTTCACAGATGGCGGTAAGGTTGCCAGTCTTATGTGCCGGCCACCCTTTAACCACCCAGGAAGATTCCTGGTGCTCGTTTCTGTTTAGAGGCAGAGTCAACCCAAAGGCCATAGTGCAGCTGGAAGGATTAGGTAAATTGAAAAAAATCACCTCATCAGGACTCAAACCCGCGACCTTCCAGCTTGTAGCATATTGCCTCACTCAACCAACTACACTACCACACACCCCCATATTGGCTGTACACAGTAGATAGGGTACATGACGCTTGCAATTCCTCACACAGCAACAGATTATAAACCACAATTCTATCTTCCGTGATATAATGCCATGTAGTCTGTTGAAAGTTACCTGATGTTCAGGAGGAACATGACACCTCCATCTTCAGGCTCAAAGAATAAGCCAAGTGAGAAAGCCATAGCTCACCACTCAACCACATCCTTGGCCCAATAAATCCAATCCACATTCTCCCACCTTATCTCTTTGAAGATCCATTTTGATAACGTTCTTCCATCTACATCTAGGCCTTCAAACAAGTCTCTTCAATTGAAATTTAACTAACTCCATTAAGCAGGGTTCTTTAGAAGCTGATAGTTTCTAAGCTACACAAGAAATTCCCTAGTATCTTATTTGTCCTAAAGGTTCCGCCTTCTTTCATGGCTTACCCTTTGATCCTGCATATGGAAACGACATGTTCCTCTGAAACATCAGTTGACTTCTAACAGACTACACAGCGTTATATCCCAGAAGCAAGAACTCTTCATAACCACAGCTGTGAGAACATAAAATCCTATATAAGTTTTGAGGTTTTCATGGCGATGACTATGAAGAAAGTCGTCTTCTGGGTTTAGACGCCGTGTATTCTTCGTTTTGGCCAAAACGAAGAATACATGGCGCCTAAACCCAGAAGACGACTTTCTTCATAAAATCCTATAGATTACAAAACAGCCTATAAATGATATATCAAATAGTGTTTATTATTAAATAATTATGAACAGGCAACAGCATGAACCAGTGAGGTTACAGTTGCCAAATTTAGCATAGTAAATTGGTCTGTATGTTATTTTATCATACTGTCAGTGCTTAGACCAGTGTCAAGTGGTGGGATGAATATGAATTGTGAACTGGAAGAAAACAATTGGAGCCTACTGCACCAGTAATTGTTTTAAGGGGCTGAGGAAAACCTTGAAACACCTCGGTCAGGACAGCCAGTGTCCTTACCAAGATTCAAATTGAATACAAGTATAGAGAACTACCATTAGACCAACCTGTTCTTACTACAGTCAGAGTTTAGAATTAAATAACAGGCAATAAGTAGACAATAATTTAACACTTTGCAGACCGGACACATGATATCATGCTTTTCGCTTTTAAACATGGTGGACCGGTCGCATGATATCAGGATTTTAGGACACGTTAGGTTGTAACACACTATACCTTGCTCGGCACCATGCAACTGCAATGAATACTGCGTAATAAATCTTCGGAATGTATGCTAGGTATTCAGTAACTTGACCTGGCTGGCTAGGATCCCTACTCCAAAAGAAAATAAACTTTGCTCCTTCCAGCTCTTTATGTACCAGGCAGGAAGTTAGGAGAGGGGAATATGTTTCAAGGACAAAAGTGGCTGAAGGCAAAACGATCTCTCTGACTTGTTTTCCGATGAGCTATCTGACGTGCCTTGTGGAGGAGTAGTGATTAGTGACTCAGACAGTGGAAGTGACAGGGGCCAACAAAGAATTGTGGCCACAGATAATAAAAGTGAAAGTTGCCTTGTGGCTTATAAATTGTGCCATTTTCAATTCACTTTTGGTTTACAAAAATCTAAGCCCTGATTCGAAATTGAAATACGAAGCATTTCTGATGAATGTGGCATAGGCTTGGGCTACAGACCAGATGGTGGCAGCAGAACCAGGGTCAGACAGACTTAATGCGACCTAGCCCATCAACTCCCTCCTCACGCAGGCCTCATGTGGACACCCTTGGGCAACTCTCGGGTGATATGCGGAAATATACCCTCGTGAAAATTGTGAAGAGTGAACATTCCAAGGGGAATCATCCTTCTAGGCAATGCCGTGTTTGCGCAGTTCGCAAAAAAAGGACTATGACTGTCTACATTTGCAAGTGTGTAATGCCACTTCACAAAGGGGAATGTTTCCAGAAATATCACACTCTCAAGAACTTCCAGGAGCATTGGTAAATGTTCTTCAAAAATTTTAGTTCATAAAATTAATTAGGAGATTTTATATTAACTTTTAAAGTGAACAGTGCACAAGTTAGGGTAGTAGGTATAAAAATGCCGGTCCCCAGGGTGATTTAAATATTTAAATCGCTGGTCCGCAAAGTGTTAAATGACATCTTTAGTTATCAGGGCAGTAAACACTAAGATAATGGTCTTGTGGAATGGGTCACATGTGGTGCGGCAAATAGGTACCAAATTTTAAAGAACTGTTTGTGCACCCTGCACATGTAAGTCACTGACCAGAGGTTTTTGAAGGTTCAGAGCTGTCGTAAGACCCTCTGCCATGTCCCCAGTGTTTGCCAAGCCATGGAGTGAATTGGTTGCTGTGTCACAGTGCTTTATAAAGAACCGTGTGAATCGCTAACCCCGCCAACTGTTAGATGCGCTCAGTGATGCAATATTTTAACACGAGAAACATTCACCCTGCCAAAATCCATCACAAATGTGTCAAAGTGTATGGGGAAGGTGTCATGAATGAAGTGGTGTCATTTGTTTAATGCCCAACATTGACGAGACTATGGTGTGCTATCCAAAATCACCAAAAGGGCCTACACACTAGTCTAGTGGAGTGTGTCTGCTTCATGACAATGCATGACCACACACCGCAGAAACAACAACAAAGTTGTTGAATAAATCAGGTTGGGAAAATCTGACCTGGCACCTTCCGACGTGCATCTTTTCCCAAAAATGAAAAGAGTTTTTGGGCAGCAAACAGATAGCAACTGATGAAGAAGTGAAAAAAAGCAATTATGACTTGGTTACATGGGCTGGCAGCCACCTTCTATGATGAGGGAATCGTCAAACTTGTGCCTGAATTGCAATGGGGACTAAGTAAAAAAATAAACATATGTTGTATCTAGTAGTGATGTTAAAATTATTTGGATGAATAAAGTTTTCTCTTGTTTATAACAAAATTGTTCTTACTTTAAAATAACCCTCGTATCATGCTACACAGCATCACATACCATAAGACTGCAAGCCCAATAATTTGTATGTAATATATTTACAACTGTAAGCAATCAAAATGGTTCTGATCTGGGTAGGATTTGATTCAATGACCATCTGGTCACAAGCTCAGCTTCTTGAGCCAAAAACTAAATTACATGTTATTGTTAGATCTATACAACCAAGTAGAAAAACAAATTTTGAGACTAATTTTTTAAAAATTTAATTTAAAAGTTGCAGATATTAGTAACCTAGGATTTTTTAAAGTAAACTCCATCCAGTTCATTACAATGCTCCCAGCACTTCGACCATTGTTCAAAACAGTTTTCAAAATCCTGAACAGAAATGTCCGTCAAGATTTTTTCACAGATGATTTAATGTCCTCAATGTCTGTGAAATGCTTTCCTTTCAGCAGTGTACTGAATTTTGCGAACAGCCAGAAGTCAGCTGGAGCCATGTCAGGAAAGTACAGTGGATGACAGTGGCCTCCGTAGTCTAGAGGTAACGTTCCCACCTCATGACTCGTGGTACGCTGGTTCAAAAACCCGGCGGAGGTCATGGAATTTTTAAGGGCGGAAAAATTCAGGGAACAAGTCCTCCGGGAGGGACTTTAAGCCGTGGGTCCCGTGTCATAGATTTACGGCACGTAAAAGAACCTCATGTCTCTAGGAGACCTCTAAGCAAAATTAGGCCAAGTTTCCTGCCCAAGTAGTTTCCAATTCCTCCGGTAGATGGGTGAAGTATCAGGTACCACTGCCAGAGGAGGGGAGACCTCTCTGACAGAAAGGGACTAAGTATTGGATACCACTGCCAAGCAGAGGGTAGAAACCTTGCTGGCAGAAAGGGACTAGGAACCCATGCCAGAGGAGGGATGACCTCGCTGACAGACAGGGACTAACTATTAGATACCACTGCCAGTAAGAGGTTGGAACCTCGCTGGCAGAAAGGGGCTGATAGTAAGCACCAGTACCGGTAGGGTATGGACAGTAGAAATTAAAAGGGGGACGCACAATGGACCAGTAACCGGTCTAAGTGCATGGGGGAAACCCACCCCCTCAATATGGAATACGGAAAACAGTGGATGATCTGTGGCAGAGATGCCTTTTCTGCTAAAAACTGCAACACTTGAAGCGAAAAATGTGCCATTGTGTTGTCATGGTGAAAAATCAATGAGTGATCTCCCCACAACTCTCCTTGCATGTGCCTCACATCATCAATAAGCCTTACCATAACCTACAAGTAAAATGTTCAATTAACAGTGGTCCCTTCAGATACAAATTTGAAGTGGATGATACCCCCGATGTCAAAAAAACAGATCAACATTATTTTGATCTTGGACTCTGACATTTGTGGCTCCTTTTTGCCTAGGGGACTCTTCAATCTCCAATCCATGGACTGGTGTTTGGCCAGTTGGTGATTTCTACAGTTTAACACAAAATTTCATATTCACTCTTTGTTTCACTGTATGCTCCATTTCCACATCTGGACAAAGCTGATGACACACAGTAATCTAACGAGCTACTGTTCAACAAATGCTGAATGTAGCTTATCCAAATTGTTCATGTGAGCTGTCTTGTTGCATCACCTAACACTCCAAGTAACAGCACAGCCAGAGCACCCAGTAAAAAATTAAAAATGAGTCTCAAAACTTATTTTCCTGATCTTTTATGCTAAATGTAATATCCAAGGTTAGTGTGTATTACAACACTAATAACACATATGAAACTATGAATAATATTGATGAAAAGTTTCAGGAGTAGAAAAATTATGCATTTTGAGTTATGCCTAAAATTCCTTGCCTTCTTTTAGGAAAAATCTCATCAATCCACTGTACAAGATGTGGTTAAAAAGTACTGTCACATGTATCAGCGACTATAGACAGGGTTCAGATTGGTAATTGGATTGACCACTTACAGGTCATAACTACAATTAATTATAACACTCTAAGGATTACTGTAATGATAACACATAAATAAAGTCTTCTATATCTACTTGCACTAGTTGTTGCTAGGCAACAGATCTCAACTATGGCTAAGCCTTGACAATGTTTTCATTATCCATTTTCTGTCAACAGATTTTACACACGAATTGTAAAAGTCTCACTGAATCACACACACTCCAGATATCACTGTACTACAGCACACATAAAGTCTTCACAGGTCTACTTCCAATTCTTCCACTAGACACATAACATGGTTGACTTCAACTTTCCAGTCTAGTTCTGTCAACTGCACTGTAGCGCTGAATATTTTCATAACTCCTCGGCACAGATCAGGCATAGAAAATACATGACACATGTCCGTTATCTCACCAGTCCATTGGCATGCTGGCTGCTGCCTACAGAAAACATGTCACATGACAGCTACCCATTGTTGAGGTGACATCACTCCACTTGCACAGAAGTGTGTTTACCAAGTTGTTGTTTGGAAATGGGTTGCATATAACCCTCCTGTTCTACTGTTCTGTGTTGGACCATGTTTGTGGAGCCGTTGCCTGGCAATGTGTCAATCAAATCTGTTACCAAAGTCGTATCTTGGTTATACTGCACTGCACATGAACATAGCTGCGATCAACATATCCCGACATCTTATTCAATAGTTTCTTCCACTGGCTCAGTCACCTGTGATCAGTGTTTTGTCAAAACATAATCTTAAATGACCAGATGCCTGTACAGCAATTTGGGCACAGCACCTCTAAAGGACAATGTCCAATCACAGCAGCAAAGACAGTAACATATAGCAGGAACCTGAAATGGGGGAGCTGACTGACAAATTGTACAGTGGGTAGGAACTTGAACTATAAATGGAATGAATGTTACCTGCCGAAAGTGATCCCACAACAGTCTCGCAGATGACGACAGTGAATGTTCACATGTTTCATCCTTCAGCGTTGTACTATGTCCACTGCTGTCAATAATTTTAATGCATTCACCGCTTACTTTAGTAATTTTGCCACCTGAACAAGATAAAATAAAACCAATTAGCAATATTATTTTTTAAAACTATGTAACTGTTGAATGCAACAAAACACTGCATTTACTACCTGTAATAAAATCACACTTAATCCTTTGCATGCCACAAACTGATGAGATTGGCTAAGCATATCTGTATTAAAACTGCCACAGATGAAGAGCTCTCCTTAATGTTAATTACTCATTACAGCACTTCTGACAACATATGGCACCACGTGTTATATACTGATGTCTAGGGGAACAGAAGGCTGGATGGGCATTGCTTAGGCCTTTTTTGTGTATACAATATTTTTCTAAAATAAAAAAATCTAGGGGAACAGAGCACTTTCATACTGTATACATCTGTGCTCACTTGATGGTATCCTATGACAGAGTATCGAAGCTTTTTCTGTGCAACAGCACTCACCCCAAAGCAGCCTTGGCACTTTCAGCAGGCAGTTCTATGACAAGGCTTGGCAGCCAAAGGGTTAAAAACAAGTGAACAGAGTTTTAGACATATGAAACACTATGTATGTTTGGCTCAGATCCCAGCCATTGAATGACAAGTTTTAATAATAAAATATATTGTGTAGGCCACTGATTCTCAACATTTGCATCTTGCATCCCACCAATCATATTGTCACCTTATTAAAAGCAGAGCTTCTCTTTTTCCCAGAACTGTAGTTTCACAATTATGACCCATTTCACTATAGTATTAATCAGTGACAGAAGATTCTAAAAATCTGAAGACTATTCATTTTTCTGAGATCTGAGGTTCTCTCCCTATCCTATGGATGGGGGGGGGGGGAGGAGCTGGTTGCTTCAAACACTGATAACTCTGTACCTGCCCATACAGTGCCACACAATCTTCATAACAGCTTTTATGATACTGTCACACATTAGTGACTAGACTAGAATGATCACTGAACTTATTGAATGCTTATGACTAGGAACTACAAATCACAATAACACTCTCACTAATCAACACACTCTACAAATCGCTATAGCACACGCTAAGTCTTCTCAGTTTCTTCTGTCTTCACTGGTCATTGCTTGGTAGTGGCTTCTAACAGTGGAGATTACTCTGCTTCCATATTCGTGCCCAACTACAAACTGAGAATGCTGACTCACAACACACTAACAATTGGCTGGGTAAATTGCTGTTGGCCCTCGCCAGCACAGTAATTCTTCATTCTGAGCCCTGCAGTGCTCATGGACATATTTTACTGTCTCACAGTTCTGGGAGTCATGAGACTGGTACTGTTTGGTCTCATTATACAGCCTCGGCATGGAATGCACAAAAACCATTGTCTCCTGCAATTCTTCTACTGTTGCAGGTGCATCTGTTGTTGTAGAGATGTGTTTGCCATGCCATTTCCTAGCAACGACTGCAGCCGCACACTGTGCATTGGATATACACTGCGAGTGTAAGACCCACAATTACATACGGCACCACAGTATGGTGGCCCAGAGTTAAACTCAAGACAAGCAAGGCAGAACTTAGCAAACTGCAGGGGTGGGCTTGTTTGGGTATCACAGGAGAAATTTGAACATCACCAACAGCTGCACTGGAGATACTCCTTCGACTCCCCCCACTGCATCTACAGTTGGAGGCAGAGGCCAGGGCAGGAATCTACCGTCTCCAATACAGTGATCAATGGAAACCTAGATCCGATAGTTTCGGACATGCATACATAACTCAGGACTTGAAAAAAGAACCCATATTACAAATGGGGTCTGACAAAATGATACTGAGACATGTATATGAAAACCCCTTCACAGTCAGATTTCCTGACAGGAGTGAACAGGAAGACGGGTTTCGGCCCGATAGAAAAGGGGGACTGATCTGGTATACGGATGGTTCCAAGATAAATAAAGGCACTGGAGCTGGTGTGTACTGCTATGGCATGAGGCAGAAACTTAGTTTCAGCCTTGGGCAGTACACGACAGTATTCCAGGCAGAAGTATATGCCATTAAGGCATGTATTATGGAGAATTTAGATAGGAACTACAGAAATAGGAAAATCTACATTCTATCTGACAGCCAAGCTGCATTTAAAGCACTTAACAAACACCAGATCAACTCAAAACTGGTCTGGTATTGCCACCAAACTCTCCTGGAACTGGCCAAACATAACAGGGTACAATTGATATGGGTGCCAGGGCATGAGGGTATTGCTGGAAATGAAACAGCAGGTCAATTGGCCAAGACTGGAGCTGAACATCCGTTCACAGGACCTGAACCAGCCTGTGGCATCTCTATAGGAGTTGCTAGACAGGCAATCAGGGACTGAACAAATATGAAACACAAGAAATACTGGACTCAGTAAAGCAAAGGGACTCATATGAGGACCCTCTGCTAAAAGAGTGAAAGAACTGTTGAAGTTAAACAGGAACCAGCTACGATGGGTGGTGGGACTACTTACAGGACACTGTCACCTTAAAGGACACCTCTTCAAACTGGGACTGAGTGATAGTTCCACTTGTGAGAGGTGTCAAGAAGACACATATCCTGTGTGAATGTGAGGCCTTAGCTTATTTAAGATTACGTCACTTGGGTCAATACTTTATGGAACGAAGCGACTATTTCAACAACCCCACGTACAAAATCCTAAGCTTCATTAGAAGCGTGGGATTGCTGAGGGGATAATCAAAAGGGGAAGCACAATAGATCACTGTAGGTCGCGGTGCAAGGGCCGAGAAGGCCCACCCCTTATATATACATTCATTCATTCATTCATTCCTAGCAACGGCCTTCTCTTCTGGCCTTGTTATTGTGCCTTTCAGGCATTATGTCACAACATATTTTATTATTGTAACTGTGTAAAGACAATGTAGTTCTATTAGCAGATATACAATTATAGTGCTTACAATATAGGAACAATATTGTGTAACTCAGTTTTGTGTGACTGAATTCATCATTATTTTTAACCTCATACCCCACCCAGCAGTCCTGCTGGCTGAGAAACACTGGTGTAAAAATCCTTCACTTACACATAGGTACAGACTGTACAGCTGTATAACATGAAATATCAACACAGGAATCACACACCTTTCAGACATTGAGTTACTAGTTTATTAGTAAAGCAGATTATATGAATATTGCCACATGAACTGAGTGCAAAGAGAGGTTGCATGGCGCCTGTGTGCCCCCCCTCCTCGTTCACTAAAGTACTGAGACCTCCCCCATTCTTCACGGCTCTTCCAGAAAGGCATTCAGTTATGCAGTACATAACCATCCTAGATATATTATATGCATGAAACAGTGGCTGCTAGCCACAGGTTTGCCAGCCTGAGTCAAATTGTTGAGTTGTGCAGACAGGTGCAAACAGTGCAGAGAAAGTTATTTCAGTGCAAGATGGAACAAGGGGTCAGTGCAGTGACATTATGGTGAAACATCAATATCATAACATGGCTTATGCTTCTTCGGTTCATAATAACCTAGACTCTCTTTGGCAGATATTTTTATATTCTTTCTAATAGTTTCCCAAGTTTTATTAACATCCACCTCAGTTTCCAAGTTTTCCAAAGCCGCGAACCTATTTGAGATTTCAACACGATACTGCTCTTTACCCTCTACCTCATTTAATTTTTTGAGATTGAACCTCTCAATATGAACTCTGTGTGTTGTTTGTTTGCTCACTGCCAGTCTTTCCCTAACCTTTGCCACCACCTGGTAGTGGTCAGTATCACAATCTGCTGCCCTGAATGATCAGACATCAAGTATACTTGAGTGCCATTTCCTATCTATTAAAATTGATCTATTTAATTGTGTATCTTCCCATCAGGAGATGTCCAAGTAAATTTATGGATGTTACGATGTGGGAACATTGTACTTTTGACAGTAAGATTTTTCGATGTGGCAAAGTTTACTACTCTAACTCTATTATCATTATTAATTTCATGCAAACTCTCGTTCCCAATCGTTGGTTTGAAAAGGTCTTCCCTCCCTACTTTGGCACTGAAATCTCCTAACAAAATTTTCATAGGGTACTTCAGAAATTTATCAAATACATGTTCTAGTTCTTCAAAGAATCTGTCCTTTAGGTCATAAATTTTATCTTATGTTGGGGCGTGAACATTCATAACAATGATATCACACCAGCAATCTGTTAGTATTATACATGATATCCTATCACTAACAAATACTACCCTCTTAACTGCTGATACGATTCTCTTATGTACAAAAAAACCTGTACCTAATTCATGATTTTCATTCCCCTTTCCACAGAAAAATGTATAGTCTCCTGCTGGTGTGATGCCACCTTCATCCCAGCTGACCTCCTGTACTCCTGCTAAATCTAACTTATATTTTAAGATTTCTTCTGCCACTGGCCTGAGTGAACCTATACAAACTTCGAACATTCCAAGTGTCAAATCTCATATCCATTTCCTTTAGCTTAGGTCGTTTATCCAAGGAATCCGTCCAAATGAACCTTAGGGTATAATAAAAAATTGGCAACTTCTCGATCAGCTAAGCAATTCTTAATTTCTCAAGAACTCTACTTCATGAAGTTAATTATTTTACGTAACATACAAACTGATGCCTGACGACTACCTTTCGAGACATCTGATGAAAGAGATGAGGCTCTCACAGCCCCAGTCTGGCATTTTTAATTTTCAATTGCAGACCTATGGTGGAATCAATCAGAATGGATTCTGGCAATTACTATTGATTAGTTAGTTAAGAAATGGGTGACATGAGTTTTTACAAAAATTATCGCACCTGGTGGGACCACATGGGGTAAGAGAAGTTGGTGTTCAGATTACAGTCACTGAGGATGTGATGATGAGCACTTTCTTAGGTATGTATCAAAGTTTAAAAGGAAATAATTGTGTAGAAAATAATTTTTAATTTTATTACACAGTTGTTTAAACATGGGAGAGACAGCACAGTTATAAATGCTTGTTCAGCAGGATCATTTCAAGGCATGGGTAGATCACGTGACAGCCAAATGTCTGGGATGTGGATTGCAGATGTAGGATGCTTCAGACAGAGGGCTGGTTATCAGTGACCAAGTGGCAACAGAGATCAGTGGTCGTTTATTGCCAAGATGCTGAATGAATGATCCTTGAATGTGAAGACGGTCACTGTGCTCTTGCTCCAAGGTAAGCACTGCAGTTTGTAAGCCCAAAGTAACTCAAGCCAAATTTGACTGAGTTTAGAGGAAATTTTCTGCATGCGATATATGGTATGAACAGTTGAACCTAAGACGTGTTCCCTCTGGCTGCAAGTACAGTTTCAGCTTAATTTAAAGTCTGTTTTTGTAGCATCAATTTCCGGAAGACTATAATTTTATTATTACAAGTTTGATCACAACTTCAAGTGAGATGCTGCTATGTTTGGCAGATATGGATCTTCATGAAAGTCATCTGACAACTTTCAGAGCAAAACCTCAATGCCAGATTTCACAGATATAAATTACATACTTCTGAACATGAAACATGGGCATACATAAAAGTAGTCATTACATTCATTCTGTGCATTTCATATAAAGAATGAAAATTTTACTTAAAAAATATATTTAATTTTACAATTTCTTACCTTCATAAAAACACGCTTCAAAATCTGGGTCTGGGTCATTCTCCATAAGCAAACATTTTGCTTTATCACTGTAGAAGGTGACTTTGGGAGTCTTCGCCTTCACTAAATTAACAAACCTGAAAAGAATTATTATTCTGAAATCCTCATTTAAATTTTCTTTGGGGAGAGAGTAGATTGGAACATTTAAGAGAGGAAAATTGTAACAGAAGGAAATTTGACACTAAGATTACTGATTCTGGATCACTAAAATTAAACATTAAATGAGGAAAGCTTTAATTCAAGGTACATTAAATGAAGTCTTCACTGAACATAAAATAGTTAAAACCATAAATATAATTTGAAAGCCTAACTATATTTAGTGGATAAGATCTAAAAGTTTGTGATGATGGTACATTAATAAAAATATTATGTTTCTGGACATCATCCATTGTCCTATTTCTGTCTAAAACACTGGCCTGTTTTGTATGTTCTGGTGAGAATAACTGTAAATGGGAACTGTACTGAAAACTGGAATACTTGAACATCATAAACATGAAAAAGCATACTTTCTACCAATAACTGGAACAAATATCACAACAACATACACTGAATACAGCAGAAACAATTACTCTTAGCACTTTCACTACAGTTTAAAAAAATAATCTTACTGTTTACACGTGAAATGACCAAAAATAAAACTTCTATACCAATACATGAGCTTGTAAGTGGACTTCTCTCTATGCAATAAAAACATAATGATATGCAGGTACTACTAATTCAGTTGAGAGATGGATCTGCCAACAGTAGCCTGTCATCAATTTCCTATGAAAATATTCATTCAGAAGAGCTTCTTAAACATGTATTTTGTATTTTTTCAGTACTGTACATTATTACTGGATTGTGGGTGCAAGATGTGCAGTCCATAGTAGAGTACAACACAGCACCTTACTATGAATATTCAATCCAAAACATCTGAGTAATTACAATCTTCCAAACAAATTAGAAGAGAAATGAGGATGACCTTAACCCATTGTCAATTAACACAGACCCCAAGAATATTGTGGCATGTAGATCCGTTGCTAGGCGACAACATAATACATAGCTATAAAACTGCTGTTGCTAAGTAATGACTCTGTAAACAATGGCTGTTACCAGGTAATGGCCACAACAGACAAGCGTGCAACAATAGAAGAACTCTTCGAAGTGATGTTTTCTGTGTGGTCCATGCCGAGGCTATATAACAATGGGTAGCTGCAATTATGAGAGAGTTTTGAGACAGAAGTTAGAAGCACAGGAGTTAGTTATGAGACAGTTGCCAGCCAGGAAGGAAGTGGCAGAATTGGAAGCCATTACCAGGCAAGAGCCAGCGAAGGTACTTCAGAATGAAGACTTCATACATGCTGTAGTGAATTGCAGAGTGCATGAATTAGCAAATGGTACTATAGCTGAGTTGTGTATATAAGTGTGCAATAAATCCAATTACCAACCTAAACCCCATCTATAGTCACTGCATAAAATCGTGACAATATGCATCAGAGCAGCTCTTCAAATGCCATACCATGTCTNCTGGAAGTAAAATGCAGCTGCAAGGGGTTAAATAACATGGGTTGATCAGTACTGTAATTATAACAATCCTGTTGGGCTAATCTCTGCAGTAGTTCTGGATGACGACTAGTTACTTACTTCAAATAATTATGACTAACAATTTCATTATGGACATAAACATAAACTCCTTGTAATTAAACAGATGTTCGCAGCCACATTTCTATATTTTTATCTTACTGCTCCTGTTCTCCATTGAATTGAAATGGATCACAGATAAACATGAGAATTTCAACCATTTTATTACATGTATGAACAAATTGGCAAGAGATACAGATTTTATATATAAATCTAAGAAACTTTTCATTTTGTCATGTGTCAAATAAATGCATCTTCAGTTAGTGAAATCCTAGACTTGAACATATTGAGATAGGTTTCTCTACCACCAAAAATTTTATATCCTTACCACTTCAATCTTTAGCAAACAAATTTCTTATGATTATACAAATATGCAAATCTATTATTCCTAATTTGGTTCCAACAACTCATATACTGAATCAATGGTTTTCATCTTCTTACCACCACAACATGAAATCGCTAGAATTCAATTACAGCACATGAGAATTGAATTTCTCACAGCGGTGAATATTAAAATTACTTTCTTTCGGGATGTAGTGTCATATAGTCTGGTAGAATGTTACCAACATTTCTGCCATCATCAAGAAGGCAGCAGGACCTTCCTAAATCTGGGTACCTATCTACCGCACTACATGACACTATATCCCAGAAGACCATAATTTTCCCATGAGAGCAGTTTTCAAAAGCATTTCACTCTTAGTCATTTCAGGATAGCAAGCAACAACTGCTATATCACCTCATTTTTAACAACAACAGAAGTATGGGGGAAAAAAAGTCTTAATATGACTCTACGTCATTTTTAAACAATATACTGCTCCTGGCATTTGAGGTACAGGCAGTCCCCCTCTTATTAAGATGTGCATGCCTACAGAAAAATTATATGAATCAGTCAGCATAGTGGCAGGCTACAGACTGGACAATCACTGGTACAGTGACTGAGGGTAGCTCTTTCTAAGGGACCCAACAAAGTATACGTCTCCCCCTTCACCTGAGGACAGAAACAGATCCAGTGATTGAGGTAAGCTCTTTCTAAGGGACCCAACAGAGTAGGTGTCTCCCCCTCACCTGAGGACAGAAACAGATCCACTGATTGAGGCTAGCTCTTTCTAAGGGACCCAACAGAGTAGGTGTCCCCCCTTAACCTGAGGACAGAAAGAGATCCAGTTTCCAAAATGTCTCGTTTCTAGTTTCTAGAATACCAGATGAACAAAGTCCAAAAATCCAGCAATTTTGAGTGTTATACACCACAGTCAGAACCCTTTAAAATCTACTAACATCCTACAGTTTGACAGCAAATAATCTTGGCAACTGAAAATGTTATTAAATAAAGGAAGAATAAATAAATTAAGGATTAGTAAGGTTGAGTGGTGGTATAGAAAGGACCTTCTCAAAACTTTATACAACATGAATCTCTGTACCTTGAAGCATAGACATATTTTTTCCAGTGTTTGGCTGGCAAAGACTCAAAACTGTAAATTGCATCTGCTCCTTCTTCAGGAATCCCAGGAGGTGAATCACCGACAGCACAACCAAGGCCACCATTAGGTCGATATAACACAATCTGTGTATAAAATTGAAACATCCAGTTATACAGACATTGAGTGACCTTGAAATAATAGCATAAAAATGAACTACATAATACTTCCTGCTCTGCATCTGTTTTCATCAACAATTTACTTAGTTTAATCCTACTGTGGTCAAGAGTCCTCCTGCTTCATGCCAGGATATAACCTCAAATAAGACAATGACTGCTTCCTGCCACATCCTTTCCAAGCCATTTTTCACTTAACTGCCCTTTCATTCAACTCTACATAGCCTCAACTGCTGATGACATCATTAAATAAATAAATAAACTTACACCAACTTAATGGAGGCAGAATTTTTCCTCATGCTGTAAAGGTAAATTTAAGAACACCTGCACCCAGCACTACTGATGAAAATATTTGTATAAGAATTACAGCAAGATTTTTTTGAAGAAAGAACTGAAAAAATGAATAGATTTCCTTGCTAGATTTGTGGATGATATTTCATTTGTATGACAGTAAAACATGACACCAGAACTAACCACAGAGATTAACAATATATCCAGTACAAAAAAAATTCACAGAAGAAGAAAACCTCACAGCATACAGGAATAAGTTAAAATTTGGATACATAACAAAACCTAGAAGCACTGTCAACTCCTTTAATCCAGAAGAATAAAGAAAGCAGCAGTCAAATATATGCTAAACAGAAGAGAGAGCTTACCACTTGAACAAACAGAAACAGAAACTAAATGCAATAACAACAGCAGTACAAAATAAGTATCAAATTACTTCAAGAGAAAATGCAGTAGGAAACAGGAAATCAACAAAAAATGAAAGAGAGAGAATGAAAAAAGGACAAAACTGATTTCATCAAGTTCACCTATTTTGGAAGTCATGTCGGGACAATAATAAAGACATTCAGAAACACCAATACAAAATCAAAACACAGTGTAAATAACACCATACAGAAAAAAAATCTGCCACAAATCAGAATGTAAATTATAAAAAGAAGAGAAAGAAACATTGAGCATATAAACTTATGTAGGATTTGAGGTTCTCACAGAGATGGTTATGAAGAGTTCTACCTTCTGGAATATAACGTCATGTAGTCCTCTGAAAGTCAACCTATGCTTTGGAAGAACATGGTGCTTCCACCTTCAGTGCCAAAGAATAAGCCAAGCAAGAAACCAGCATGAAAGCAAGTGGCAAGCACTAACATTAAACATTAACAACAACCACCCAATCTGTTCACTCACTTCAGTCACCTCCCAGCATTCTAACTACACTTCAAGCACACCACAAAAAACCAAACTGCAGACCACTCAAGGCTGAGCATCAGCGTACCCACAAGAGAAAACCTTAACACTTAACTGCAGCACAACCTAGCAACCAATTACACAAGCTGTAACTACATGTTTACTTACAACAGACAAAACTTCTTGGACTGACCAATCACAGCACACCCTCATATACTAAAAATATGTATTATACAAATAGACATCAGCAACACTGAGATTCATTAATAATGTACAAACATGATCAACACCTCAAATTCACCACTTTATTAAATCTAACTTGCTTTAGTGACCAATTTTTATTCATAATATACCCTCAATTTAGATATAAACAGTGATTTTTTTTATTAGAGCTATATGACTGTAAAAATGCATAAATTTTTGACAGACAATTCAATAACAATAGGTACATTCTTATATATTCATAAGTACCACACAATGACGATCTTTCAGATTGAAACATGTACTGCATATATATATAATAAAACAGAATATTAACATATTTAATACCAGTTTTATTTACTAGTTGTGTTGATAGCAACCAAAATACCTTAAATACAATATAAACAACAGGATGCAAAAAATAAAGATGAATATGAAAATATTGAAGAGACCATGAACATTTTGAAGACTGTGTCTAAAGGAAAAGATATGGATACTTGGGTACAACTTCACATGTGCAAATTTAGTATGGAGGAGTAACTAAAAATGAACAATATACACTAATCAAAACAAGATACTTTTTGAACTTGCACTAAATAGAGAAACTTAACAGAGGACAGGTACATATCATGCAAGTGGCTATAGTTTTGAATCTGTTATCTATGCGGCATCAGTAACATAGTTGGTTGAGGCACTATGTTACAGGCCATAAGGTTGCTTTCAATTCCCAATATCATTGGAATGTAAATTAACCTAATCCTTCCAGCCGCACTATGGCTCTGGGGTGGACTCAGCCGAGTACCAGGAATCTTACTGGGGTGTAAAGGGTGGCCAGGGCATAAGGCTGACAACCTCACTGCCATCTGTGAACCAAATGTTGGAGCCTTGATGCCTCACAACCCTATGGGCTTCCATGGCCTGTTACAGGGATAGCTACACCTCACCTTTATTCACAATGCACACAGATGGCTGACAAGCTGAAACATGTTTGCTAGTGAACTTAAGTACTGTGTGATAGGTGTAGATGGTCAATTACAAGAAATAATGTTAACAATACACAACCACAAACATGAATCCAATTAAGATACTGGTGGAAAAACAGGTAAAATTGTCCCTGTGCTTAAGTAATTTAGCACTACACCATGAAGACATATGGGGGAGTGGATGTATAGATGCACATTTTCTTGACCTCGGCACCAGTTGGAGGTGAGTGGTCAGTTTCACGCCCTGGCCACTTTACCCCCAGGGAAAGAGCCCTCTGGTACCCATTGGATAGGGGGTTGAGTGGACCCTAGAGTCAGTCTGGATGACGTGGAGAAGAGAAAATCTCTTGACCCTACAGGGACTCGAACTCCAACCCCTCACTTGTCCAGCCCATAGCCAGTTGCTATAGTGACTATGTTATCCTGGCCCAGTTGGTTGAGGCACTATGCTACATGACGGAAGGTTGCAGGTTTGAGTCCTGATGAGGTGGATTTTTTCAATTGACCTAATCCTTCCAGCTGCCCTATGGCCCCGGGGTTGACTCAGCCTCTAACAGAAATGAGTACCAGGAATCTTCCTGGGCAGTAAAGGGCAGCCAGCATATAAAACTGACAACCTTACTGCCATTTGTGACCAGACTGTCTAGAGAAGATGTGGGAACCTCAACGTCTCACAATCCTATGGGCATTCACAGCCTGTTACAGGGACTGGTGTACAATGAGATATAAATATCCCTTGATAAAATCTTAAAAAACTTATAAAAATCTTACCTATGAAATGAGAAGTTAGTTATAGGACAACAATGCAATACAGTAGAACAGTCAACAATTTAAAAAATCTATGATTGCATGATGTTGTATCACCTGTAACTGCTACAGGTTCACCAATTTCTGGTGCCCACACTGTGTTGCAACATTATATGCAACATTAATCCCACTTTCAACAAAAATAATGCACTGGTTGTAACCTTTTCAATGAACGGTTGATGCCTTGGCGTTCATCATTAAGGAATCACATGGTGTGGTCCATAAGCACGAATACGCACACTCTGTTGCCACATCACCTTCAACTTTAATTACATTTACATGGCAATAGAAATATTATCAAGGGCCATTTTCATCTCAATGCTCAACAAAGAATTGTGTGGCAGAGTCCACAAGAAGAATTTCCAGAAATCTAGTGCAGTACATAGGTACTGTATTATGAAACTTTGGATGACAAATGATGACCAAAAAAAAAACATTATGTGCCTCAGTCTTGATAGTTGGTCACCCAACAAAGATATGAACTGGGCACATCCAGAAGAGAAGTATACATTGCCACTGACATGCTAAGTAAATTAAATTGGAATAATTTGATCTCAGAGAAAAAGGCTGTGGTAATATGGCTTGGATTAACCCTTTCCCAACCTCTGTCAGAAGGCTTCCAACACTAATTTTCCCATATAGATCCACTGAAAGGAAGCCTTGCAATATGAACTTTACAAATTTACTGGCACATCATGAGTGCATGTTGTGTGTTATATCTTTGCTCTTTACATTCTTTGACATCTTTTCTAACAGTTTCTATACAGGAACATGAATGGCAGGAGTTTTATATTTTCTCAAAGTATTATTTTCTCCTTCACATTTTTGGATAAGTTAATCTATAACTGGCAAAACTGAGTCTTAAGCAAAACAGATGAGAAAGGGTTATGTTATCTCTGTTTTCGGTCCAGTACTGGCAGTGTTAGGACTTCTCAAGTTCTACTATCTAATACATTATTAAGCATTTCTTACCCTGAGACCATCACCAGAAATTCTGCAGACATCCACAACTCTGTCCTCCTTGTTTCCCCTTTTCTTCCTCAAAAATTCAATGCAGACCTCTCCAGACTCTAGAATACTCAAGATGGCGCTTTTTGTGTGATGCCGTGTGGGCTGTAATCTCAAAGAGCTTAAAGGAGAAGGTGTGCCACAGTTTGAACCAGTCTTAAGCTCAGAACTTACAACACTATTCACTGTAAAAGTTCTTACAGATTCTGCTAGTCTTGCATATTTGAAGTCATGTTTCTTGAAGAATTCATCACTTCCAACCCCATGTAACTTCACATCATTTAAATTTCTCTGGCACCCAAACTCTGATAATGGGCGTTGTGAAGTCAGTTCCTGAGAGTCAACTACAGGGTATTCCAGTGTGGCCAAATTGCTTAAGGAAGAAGCATAATGCAGACAATCCCCTGTCTCACAGTTTTGGCCTTTAGGGTGATTGTGAACACCACAGAAACACCTTACAGGAGAAAAACGTTGTACACATGGCATATCAACACTTTTAGAACGTTCACGGCAGCCTGTCTGTGAATGTTTCTGAAACTGTTCAGAATCTGTAGCGTGCATCTGAATTTGTGTGGAAGGAAATGAATCAATACTACAGTTACAATTACTTTTGCTACAGTGAGAAATATTTCTTGTTACATTTTCAGCAGAATGTGTCCTAATTAAACAATTATTTGTCACTCTACTGACAGTTTCATTATTTTGGGGAACAGTCACATTGTCATCCTTTTCTTTTAGTCCTGTCACATGATTCTGACAGAGAGAGGCACTTCTCAGCATGCTCTTTTGAGAATTGTCACATGTTTGACGACCACACTCCTCTATGCGGCAGCCATGCAATATCCTTCCGGTATCATCAGAGTGCTTACATGAGCATTGGCTATGGTGTGACGCACAACTATAAGAGTCTCCATGATGAGAACCAATCTCAGGATTGGACTTACTACCAAATATCAAATCCCAGTGCACAGCCCTTTCCCCACTACTACTGCAACCATTTCCCTCATCAAGGCAATTACCTCCATCTTCATTAACACTGGTAGCAGTACATCCAGTTCCACCTCTAGAACTGTAATGTTCAGGTTGGGACTGGGCATTTAAAATGTCTTGTAGAGTCGAACGATATGAGGAATGTTGAAGGTCTGAAGTCTGCACTGATGGAAGAGTTGGTAACACTTCAGAGATTTTGTCACCAGGATTTGAAAGTGAATGATTAAATCTGGCACGAAGATACATCGGTTTCTTTGATTTTTCTGAAGAATTTATGCCATGATATTTTTCTTCTGATCTACAGAAAAAAGAAAACTTTCAACTGCAAATTAAACACTAATTTACATACATTAACATATATAACAAAAACACACTTATGGCCCTGGATAAATGACATAGCCATATATACTCATGAGTAGCAAGCGAAACCATACATGCAAGAAACAAGCACAAGAAATTGGCTGTAAATATAAGCAGAGAGAAAATTTACAATATGAGAATGTTATGTAACCAAACACTGTGATAATACCTCACTGCTATAAAAATATTTAATTAAAAAATGTAAATATATACACATATAAAAGGAAATGGTTTATAACTATGAGTGAATGTTACGTTATTCTCACACTAGTGCTGTTCACATACACAGATGTCAGGATTGAAACTGTGCTGTCTCTGGGATAGAACTGTAACTTCAGTTACTGTTTTAGAGGTTAAAAGGGGGAAAAAGAAAAAGGTATGAAGGAGCCGTTGCTAAGCAATGGTACTTGCGTTATCACTGTAACGTTTGCTTGAATGTGGGCAGTTCCCACAGGGGTTAAGGAAGAAGACATGAAAGAAATGACATCTCATTGAATTTCAACGGGCTTTTCAACTACAACAGTAATTCTCTTCTCTGCATTCTTTAATGATGCTTTCAGCATTGAACAATGTCAGATGGCAAGATAACGGATCAATTATGAAATGGAAGGGATTTAGAAGGAAGTGACAGTGGTGTAATTGAGGTACTATCCTGACATTTGCCTGAAGGCACTCAGATAAAACCATGAAAAGTCTCAGTCAGGACAGCCAGTGTCCCAGCTGGCATTCAAAACTCAGCACCTCCTCAATACAAGTCTAGACCCCTGGTCTGGACCACCTGTCTGGTGGTATTGGTATGATAAGGAACAAATATGAGGTACATGACACAAAAGATGTCAAGAAATTCTTGTTCTTATCTACCATCCATAATGCTAAGATACCAGCTAACTAAAGGGAGCAAACAGTTGCTCAATTGGTCAATAATTCCCATAATTCTATGGAACCCATAGGTTCACTATTGTGTTCACAAGAGTGCACCAATGGTGCCTACAAGGATTCAAATGAATCCAGTCCATAACCTCCTGCCTCATGTCTTTAAGATCCATTTTAATGTTATACTCCCATCTATACCTAGGACTTCCATGCGGTCTTATTTTTTTCAGATTCTTCTATAAAAATTGTGTGTGCATTTTCCTTTCTCCCATGTGTGCTATATGGTCTACTGTCCTCACCCACTTAGTATTCAGTTATTTAACTAGTGGATTACTTACAAGAGTAAACATACATAGTGTTTTTCAAGCATCCATGTTGGCAAAGAAACTGTCTCACTGTGAAGTGGGCAGCATCCTCAAAACAGACATAAATAATAATTCTACTAAACCATTTCTACAGTTATGGAATATGAATTGCAAGAATCTGAAAACTATGTGTTAGAGAAAGTAACTGGACACAAGTGGTGAAATACGACAGGAACTGAAGATTTTCATAGTGTCATCAGAGCATGCTGTAACAGACTGGACAGGCGCACTGGAGGAACACAGAATAAATATGGAATTTTAATACATAACTGTCTTGGAACTCATCCCACCTGGAAGATCAAAACAATACAGGAAGTGAACATACAAATGTATCACTGGAAGAAAAGGCTGTTGAAGATGTGAACTGAAATGTTGACTGACCTGCGTCGGGACAGTGACAAAAGGTGGAGACTGGCATTAGCAATGTTGAATATTCAATCTCAAAGGAGTCAGTTCAGTCAGTTATGATATAAGAGACAGACATGATCTGAGGAGGGAATAGGGTGGTGAAAAAAAAGAAATCTGTCCACTGAACTAAGTTAGTTTGATTGTAGTAACCTAAACNCATTTGTGGTGGTGGTACATTAACACAATTATTGTGTTTCCAAACATTTTCCATCACTGTTTTAAACCAAAACAGGATGGGTAAGAACCAAAAGGCACAACAATTGTAAAAGATCTGAGGTTCTCACAGCAGTGATTATGAAGTGCAATATCTTCTGGGATGGGATCACACTGGCTACAGCACCCTGTTGCTCTCCAGGGCCACCCTTCTCCTTCCTTCTCCCATCTCTCTGTGCCCTGCTGATTATGTCTGGTCTCCTACCCAGCCCCTGTCTAGTAAGTTTTTATGCATGGTTCCCCCAGCTTCTGCTTGCAATCGTACTCATTGCTTGCTTAGAATACTGCAGCATGTATAGCCGTTGCTATGCAATGAATGTGAGACGGGCAGTTATATCAAACCTGATTCTGGACAACAGTTTGGTAAACACGTTCCTGCAGCAACGGTTACATATGAAACAGGGGAATGTAGTGTTGCCTATGCGGCCCACGCCGAGAAGTTATAAAGAAGAGAACTGAGGCAACCAGTCAGTTGAGCTCTGCAAGGGAGGCTGAGAAGAGATGGTGCTATATTTGGTCGAGAGCTGTCAGTCATCAGTTGAGAGTTGAGTTCTACATGGGAGGCTGTGAAGATAGAACCTGAGCGCGTGAAGCTGAAGAATCTCCACTGTTAGAAGACGCTGCCAGGGAACAGCTGATGGAGACATAGCTGGCTGCAAAAAGGCCTAGTGGGTGCTGTGGTGAATTGTGAATTGTAAATTGTGGAGATCAGCAACAGCACTGTAATTATTTGTAGATTCAAGTTGAGTGTATAAATGATCAATAAATCCATTAATTAATCCATACCCAGTCTACAGTCACACCCCTAAATCACGACATCTTCAATCATGAAGATGGAGGCAGCATGTTCATTCCAAATGTCAGTGAACATCTACCAGACCATACAGCGTCACACCCCAGAAAACCGTACTCATCACACGCAGTGAAGAATTTCATGAAGCATGTTAATTTCTGGGTACAATAAGAATACAGGGCTATTATAAATGATTGGGGTGATAAGAAATGTGTATATTTTTTAAACAGTTAGAGACATATATGTGAAACAACTCAAAAACAGCATGTAAAATATAAAATTACTGAGAGGTGTAAAATACTACCTTGCAAATGTCAACATAACATTAAAATTATTCACATGTATGCCACATCTTGGCCAGTGAAATTCATTCTCAAAGGGACTGTGGGACTGGAGTTTCGTACACCCAGCCTTTCACATATCCCCATAGGTGGAATTCATGTGGAGTGAGGTCTGGGGATCTAGGGGACCAATCTTGCCAACTGTGAAACCGCTAGCAACATTGTGCCTTCTGCAAATTCAGACGTCGTCTTCCTTTGGTAATGATCAGAGTGTCACTTGCAGCTGATATGGTCAACCTTGCCCACAAAAATTTAACGAGTTTCCTTGCCATTTTCTAGTTGTTTCATGTTTGTATCTGTAACCATTTTGAAAATACATTAATTTCTTATGACCCAAATCATTTTTAATAGCCCTGTATTTAAGTAATGTACTCTGACAGACTGAGAGGAAGCACAGGTGGGGCACATAAAATGTTGGGTGGGAAGCCTATCAGTAGACTCCTTGAGAGACCAAGACAGAGATCAGGCATTAGTATTAGAGTGTATCAGAAAGCAAGGTGTAATTGCTGTCAGGTTGAATAGATAAGAATGACGTGGGTCACAATAATGTGTACCAGTATGGTTCAGTGCTAACCATGCTGAATCTTTGCATTAAATACCATACAGGAATTTTGAAATTGTTAGTGGTGCTGAAAAAAATAAATCTGTCCACTGAACTAAGTTAGTTTGATTGTAGTAACCTAAATAGGGCAATGAAGATCCAGAAAAGCCTACCTGGATATAATCTTAACTGTTTCCTTTTTCATGGCTTCTTCATTACTGTCCGGTTGCATATCTGTCTTTAATGCTTCACACACTCCTTTAGGATGATATTTCCAAGCTGGAGGTAATGTATCACATGATACCTGTTCATTAACAGTCTGAAAACTGTCTCTTGTTTCCTGTGAATGAGTATTCGTCGACATTGTGTCCATTCCACTGTCAGCCGTATCTCCCGGCAGGCACTTCTGATTAGAATTAAAATTTGTCATTAATTACAGCAAACATATAATGTCCAATTTACATATACAAACATGCATGCACATGCATACATAGTTTCTATCCTACATTTGAGGTCCTCACATCAGTGACTAAAGATTATCATCTTTCTCGATGTGATGTGTAGTCTGGCCAAAGTTTACAAATATTCATCAAAAGCATTGTTAAATTCTACCAGACTACATTGCATCACATTCCAGAGGATAGTACTCTTCAGGATTGCAGTTCCCTACGCCAACAGTACAAGTTTCTTATGATGCAATGTTGTCAGTGAGAGCATTTCTTGTTCATTATATCTCTCAACAATGTTCCGTTTCTTGGTGAAACAACACATGTGAACAAAACAGATAGTGTTCTGNAACATATAATGTCCAATTTACATATACAAACATGCATGCACATGCATACATAGTTTCTATCCTACATTTGAGGTCCTCACATCAGTGACTAAAGATTATCATCTTTCTCGATGTGATGTGTAGTCTGGCCAAAGTTTACAAATATTCATCAAAAGCATTGTTAAATTCTACCAGAATACATTGCATCACATCCCAGAAGATAGTACTCTTCAGGAATGCAGTTCCCTATGCCAACAGTACAAGTTTCTTGTGATGCAATGTTGTCAGTGAGAGCATTTCTTGTTCATTATATCTCTCAACAATGTTCCATTTCTTGGTGAAACAACACATGTGAACAAAACAGATAGTGTTCTGAAAACTCCTATTTCATCCAAACTTGTCATGATATACTGAAATTTGAGTCTGGTGCAACATACGTGCAATGAGAGTTATTACACTTTGGGTTTACTGGGGTCCTGGCCTTTGTTCATCGCCTAGTATTGTGGGGGGGGGTCCTCGAAAACCAAATCTGTTTCCATCCTCAGATAAAAGGTTTGGGAGGTACATGCTCAGTTATTACCATAAGAAAACAGAACCTTCAATGACTGGATGTCTAGTTCACATGAGGATGGAAGTAGAACCAGTTTATGAAATGCTGTAACTGCACANGTACAAGTTTCTTGTGATGCAATGTTGTCAGTGAGAGCATTTCTTGTTCATTATATCTCTCAACAATGTTCCATTTCTTGGTGAAACAACACATGTGAACAAACATACAAAACTCCTATTTCATCCAAACTTGTCATGATATACTGAAATTTGAGTCTGGTGCAACATACGTGCAATGAGAGTTATTACACTTTGGATTTACCGGGGTCCTGGCCTTTGTTCATCCTCTAGTATTCTGGAGGGGGAGTCCTCAAAAACCAAATCTGTTTCCATCCTCAGATAAAAGGTTTGGGAGGTACATGCTCAGTTATTACCATAAGAAAACACAACCTTCAATGACTGGATGTCTAGTTCACATGAGGACGGAAGTAGAACCAGTTTATGAAATGCTGTAACTGCACGACCATGAAAAAGTGTAGAAATTCAATAATCCAGGGTGTAATCCTCTACCATCAGAAACCATCAAAACAGAGTTACTAAATGATTTGAGGTCCTCACAGCAGTGGTTATGAGAGTTCTATCTTCTGGGATACAAGGCCATGTAGTACACTAAAAGCAAATCTAAGTTTCGGAGGAACAAGTCATCTCCATCTTCAGGGTCAAAGAATAAGCCTCACAAGATACCTGCTACCGGATTTCAAGCTGGTTTCTTGCTTGGCTTGCTCTTCAACCATGAAGATGGAGGCAACATGTTCCTCCGAAGCATCAGCTGACTTTCATCAGACTATATGGCATTGTATCCCAGATGATACAACTCTTCAGAATTACTAAAGGTTACTGTCTTTGGAGGTGTAATGCTGTATTCTTTGGTAGATAGATGTCAATGAAGGCAGAGATGACATTATCTATCAAAATACACGGCATCACATACCAGAAGTCAGTCATCTTCGGTCACCACCATGAGAACCACAAATCTTACAGAGCAATGCACCATCTGTCTTTCCTCATGGGACTATAAGATAATATGCCCACATCAGATTAACCCATGTATTTCCTCCCTCATTTCAGGGAGCCTACCCCAGGAAAAGTGATCGAATCTGTTAGAAGTGTTCCTCCACCATGAATTACTAAGAGGTTGAGTACTCATGACGCCATGTGGACCAGCAGAAGTTCACCTGCATCTCAAAAGAATGTACAGCTTCTATTATCAGGGTCAGAGAGTGAGCAATGCAGGCAACCAGCTTGTTGGTTAGCATCTAGCTTCCTGCTGGTTGCTTGCTTCACTTAGTTTTCAACTCTGAAGATGAAGCAGTATATTCTTCTAAAATATCAGTGAACTTCTAGTGGACTACATAATGTCACATACTTCTACCAGAAGAGTGCTCTTCAGTCACCACTGTGAGAACCCCAAATGCAACATACTGTCATGCATACGAGTGACTATACATGGGGTTTGGATAGGTAATCAGTTTTGGTGTATATTTATACACAACTCTTCTCTTCTCCACGTGTGTCATAAGCAGATTATCACCATTAGAAAGCTATTGGATTATACAGGGCGTTCAATCATCGAGGAAATTGGGGAAGCAGCGTGAGTCGGATACAACATTTCTCACAGATTGCTGCTGTAGCTACCGATAGTTGAATGAGTCATCAGTGCTGATAAACACACACACTCTCATTAGCATAGAACAGATGGAACGTTTCTCCGCCACTACTGTGTCCTTCCCCAGTAGCGAGAGTGCAGTTGTGACAATGATTCCCTTGCATCAGTTTCTGCACATGCATAAATTTATACGAATACTCTAAAAAGATAACACAAACTCACCATGCTTTATAACAGGTGCCAAAAGTAACCCCCTTTTGCTTGCACACATGCCTCGCATTGCATAAATAAATTATGCAATGCTTTCTGAGGTCGGTCAACGGCAACTGAACTAATTACGTGTGTAAAATCCTCATGCTGTACAGCAAGTGCCATTACATAGTGAAAAGGTGGGGGTGTGGTCTGCTGAAAGTCCGCACCAAATCATTGGCCCCTTACTTTTCCACAAAACCGTGAACTCTTGACCACTACGTTAATGATATACTGAATCCATTCTTTCAATCAGCTGACTGCTGAAGAGAGACAATATGGGTATTTTCAGCAAGATAACACTACAGCACATATGGCTAATGCATCCATGGTTGCACTATGGGAAGTGTGTGAAGACAGAATAATCAGCAGGGAACTGTGGCCTCCCAGATCCCCAGACCTCAGTTTCTGTGATTTTTATTTTTTGGGAAACCTAAAGTGAAAAGTCTGCAAGAATAATCCTCACAGCACTGAAGCTCTGCAGAATGAAATAAGATGCGTAATTGGTTCAATTGCATGTATCAACTTCAGAAAGTGTCGCATAATTTATTTATGCGATGCAAGGCATGTTTGCAAGCAGAAGAGGGTCACTTCCAGCACCTGTTATAAAGCACGGCAAGTTTGAGTTATCTTTTTACAGTATTCTTACAAATGTGTGCATGTACAGAAACTGATGTGAGGGAATCAGTGACATGACTGCATGCTCACTAGCGGGGAAGGGCAAAGTAGTTGCAGAGAAATGACCCATCGCTCTACGCTAGTGAGAGTGTGTGTGTTTATCAGCACTGATGACTCATTCCGCTATTGACAGTTACAGCAGCAGTCTGTGAGAAATGTATTCAACTCATGCTGTTCCCCCGGTTTCCTCGATGATTGAACACACTGTATTATCAACATACAATGAGAACCAAAATCATCACATCAGAAATCTCACTTGACACACGGGACTTTTCTTCTGTAACACTGTCTACTAACGATATGACATATCATTACAGGGGTTTGAGATTATATTTACAAATAGCTCAACAATTCGTGTCTGCTATGAAACAACCAAACTGTGCAGCATAAAATCAATAAACAAGAAATGACTTATTTCTGCGGTTAAAGTGCTGCAAAACAATAGTCATCACCCTCATTTTTTTCACTTCAAATTTTCCAGAAATCAATAAATTAGACTGAACTTGCTAAATTGGTCAACAATTTTCCACCCCATAACCCTGGTTACGTTAACATTTAATCTGATGTGGCAAGATAAAAAATCTACTACCTGGTCTGTGTAATTTCAGCTTGTCGGTAAAGACACACTGCCTTTATGGATTATGCTTTCTTTCGTTCCCCACCATGAAACCTTGAATTAGAACGGATGCTCAAATATTTTTCGTAATCAAAATCAGTGTCCATTTTCTTCAGCCTAATTAATTAATTTTAATTGCTAGTGGGGTGGGACTAAGTCCCTTGTACTGCGGCCACCTCTGGCCTACTGTACCAGCCCCAGATGATAGGTGAGGGTGATTGTGGAGCAATTGGTGGAATGAAGATTGGCAGGGGAAACTGA